CATTTTTCCCAGGAAATAAACAGTGGATTCGCCGGCTTCCTTTGTCTTGCTAGTTCTACTGATTTATGGCACTACAGATGAATAGAAAATATTTCATATTTAAAAATTTCATGAACTATGTTCCCGTTAATATGTGGAGTTGACCATAGCAGTTTTCTGCACTTTCTTTAATTTTCAATTGTCGTTATATATAAAAAACCACAACAATTATAAATCCCTTCGAAAAACTTTCCTTAGATTCTTTGAACAATGTTCTAAGGCTTTTTTCTCCTCTTTGATGATAGTAAATGAATTCGTTTTTATTGCGGCAATTTAAAAATACACAAGATCCATCTATTTTGACAACATGCTTTCATTTTTGCCCGAATAATTGTTTCTCATCGAGAATTTTCCAGCGCGTTCTACTTTCGGCGATATGCCGTGGAGAAGACGTTTACGTTTTTTGCCTTTTTAATATTCAAATCAGCATTAATCACTTGGTTTAGACCTGACACTGATCATTTTAATGATTACGTAATTGTCCTGTCACTTCGAAGAATTTCTTTTAACATTAAAGTTCTCACCTTTGCAGCATTCGAAACATTGCGTTTTGTCCCTTGGATAAGAATTTTGAACAATTTTTTCCCTTGAAGCCAAACTTTTTTTCCTTTCTTATTGACAATATTATCTATCGTTGCCTTACATACCGAAACATCATGGCTGTCACAGCATTTTTGTAATAAGTAAATACGAATAATATTTTTGGAAAAGACCACAAATATAGCCTTCCGTCAATTTCTTTTTTAATTTTTTTTATTTTGCATATAAACAAAATTGTCAAATATCAGACGATAATTTACACTTTCCAAAACATAGCTGAATTTAAAAAAATCTGATGTGTACACCACATGACCTCCTTGTACGGAATATTAAATTATACGAATATTTTCTTGCATTTCATTTACACCTATTGGATTGTATTAAATCTACTTCGTCGATAGCGCATAAACTACAATAAAATAAATGCAATCTTTAAAATTTACTTCTATACCATTTGAAGAATTATCTAATCGTTGTCACATGTTCTATTCAAATACTTAAATCTAGAACGATGTATAAAAGAAATTAAGCCAACAAAACAAAAAAGAAACAGTTTTTCACTGACGGTTCAGCATTTCTCATTCAATTAATTCAGTTCTCATTTTGCGGCAAGGGAAGAATACATAAAAACTCAAAATATCTACATTAAAAATTGCGAAGTAAATCTGAAACACTTATTTTCTCGAAAAAATTCCATAAAGGATTAAGCATGATTTAATTCGTAATAATAAATGAAGGCGTTATCTTTGTTGTTGCGAAGCTTAATCTTTCTATAGTGGCAACTGCTATTCTGCTGTTTCAAATGTAAACAAACATGTCCGCCATGTTATTTAAATATTAGGCTTAACCGCACTTAAACAGCTTTTAAATTGATGATAATTCTACAAATATTGCATGGAAGTTACGCAAAGGCATAAAAATCTTAACTGGAAGATACGACCAACTTAATTCCATCATTTTAAAGCAAAAAATGCACAATTTACCAACACGTAAGAATTAAAAAAAATTAGCTCAATGAGCCAAGTAAAATTGTCGGTATGTTATGTTACTTGTGTGTATATGTGATGTACCAGCTTTTGTCCGGAATAAATAGATTGGTGAAGGATCATAAATGTAGTCGTAGCTTAAATTATCAGACGATAAGTTTAAAAAACAGGATCCATTTATTATTATTCAGGAGAAATAGCAGTTACAAAATCAGATATCCAGAGTGAATAAAAAGAATTACTAATAACTTTTTGTATGAAGTTTACTGCATTGTTACATTTAAGAATAACCCCGATATTCCTTTGCGAATCCTTTTATAGCCTCTGGAAAGACGGAGTTTCCAAGAAATGACGTCAACCTCGTCAGCCATTCCGGTTCACTTTAAATATCTCCAGAACATTCTATAACTGTACGTGTAGAAAAGGCGGGAAAAACAATTTGACTACGGGGCTGTGAATTTAATTCCACGTACTTTCAAATAAGATAACGTCGCCATTAAAAAATAAAAAGAACATACAGTTAGAATTTTAAGTGCATTCTTGACTATGGAATTTTATTATTATATATATGGCCACCAAAAAGGGAGGTGCACAGCTACATTCTATAGCAGTCCTATATATAAAGTTCAAGGTTCTGAGGCTTCTCGTTTTTCAGTTATGCGAGATACATACGTAAATACGTACAGACACCACGAAAAATTCTCTTCAGAATTCATTTTAAAGCAGGTGTATAATTTTTTGGAGGAACAGAGTCTTTTATTCTGTCCTTACGTACAGATGTCACGCAGAAACATCGTTAAACTGCATTCCATAGCAGTCGAAATGGATATTTTCGTCGAAATATGCTGCCTGAAACTTTTCGCGATTACAATACTTCCTTTTTATTCGTACAAGGAAGTAAAAATATTTCCAAGCTAGCCATTTTTTATAGCAAAGCAAATTCTTCTAAAAAGCTAGCGAACAGCTTCTGTAGATGATAATCCTCACTATACAAGCAACATAACTTATTTGTAGTCCCTGCATAGAGAAATAAATCCTGATTTCTCATGTGCGATGATCATTCAAAGCAAGCTACTGGTATTAATATTGTTTTCCTACTGAATATTAATTTATTGGTCCTGAAATTAATCGTATTAATTGATTTATCTTGCTAATAGAATCGTATTAATTGAATAAGCCGAGTGAGTAATTAATCAATTAACGCTATTCCTTTTACGCTATATGAAATGTTTTATCTCGAATCGACAACAATATTTTTGTATAGACGTTTTAATTTTTCTGCTTAGTTGGGTTTTTTGGAGAGTTTCTAGCGTGTGTGGGGAATTTGAGTTTTTATGTTATTTACATCCAACCCATGATGCATAATTACAAATCTCAGCGCAAATGACTTTGCCTGAAAAAAGAGTACAATATGTAACATTTTCTCTCAATTGGCAATTGCTTGCATTGTTTCACAATCAACAAATAGTTGTAATTGTCCATTTTGAGCAGCTTGTATGTTACTGTCGCCAAAAGAAGAGGTGTGATACCGATTGATGAAGAAGAGGGAATATTTCGTGGAAGATTTCCCTAACGTAAACTGTCTCGTATGCATGGGTAAAACTATGAGAAACGATGCAAATACATAATACTGGTTTAAAATGGATTTCGCTATCTGTCGGAAAAAATGGAGATTTTTTTATGGTGAAACTACCATTTTTTGCTTTGTCTCCTACTAAGACCAGAAACGGTGGCCATTTTATTATAAAGACATCTAATAGGTGGTCAGCTTTGCCTCCTATGAAGGGACAGACCCATACATTCTCCGGGATTCAAACTCGGGCTCATTGGTATGGAAGTCAGAATCTTCGGCTCTTCGGTATGACATTTACCCGTATGCGCGCCTAAGTAGGGGAGATAAACTTTTTAAAGTCAGTTTGAACAAAGATTTTACCCCAAAGTGTTCTAGTGTGCAAAAACCTTTGATTAGTGCCGATTCGTTCCCGTATAACGATAGTTAGAGGGAAACGCCAATTATAGCATGAGCATTTGCCTATGCGTGCGATGCATTTGGAGGCAGCAGTAAAGAAGGAATTGGTCAATGTGCCGACGCCAAATAGACAATATGGCGGTTAGTGACGCTGATTGCCATACCTATTGGCCAAGATTCGAATCCCGGAGAGGATATGAGTGATCCATCTTTTCTGCATGCCTTCGTAGTGTAACAGTAGCACACTCGGCGCGTATTCGAGAGGTGCAGGCTCGAGTCCCGGCTAGGGTATTGCTCATTTTTCAAGTCTCCTGCTTCAAAATAACCTAATAACTCTACAAAGTTATTCCGGTTTGAACAGGTGACAGGTGACGGAGGACGGGGACGCCTGGTGTTTAACATAGGTAAACAGGCGTGTGTCCCACGCCCTCCCCTATCTAGGAATAACAACTCCCTGGGGCCCCGTGAGGCTGCCTCGGGAGTTTATAATACAGATCTAAAGATCAATACATGGCCAAACAGGGCCTGAGGATTATTGTTTGACAATGGTTGCGTGACAATAACTTTGTGGGTGTGCATGGCTGTTGGAATAACACAGATACATAAAAATATACAAAACAAATACAAGAATAGATACATATACAGGCAAAAACAAACAAATACTAACAGATACGAACATAAGGATGCATTGATATTAAGATAAATATGAAGAGAGACACATATGTAAGATACAAGAGTAAAAACAAGAGTAATAAATAAAGTCATATGTGTATTGCTGGTATCCTTGGGGTTGCAAATGTGCTGTGAGCACTTAAACACAGAGATGAAGCTATTAGTACCGGATGTCGAGTTATGGTGCCAGGAGTTAGTGTTAGAGTTCGCTGAAAGTACAGTCTGCACTATAGTTCAAATTTGCAAGAGTTCAGGCTACACTAAAGTTTAGTGTACACTGTGGTACTAATAGCACTAAATTTGGAGTTTGGCACAGTCACTAAGTTTTAATGCAATTGCTATAGGTTGGTACAGTCACTACAGCGCAGACACTATGTTAGGCACAGTAATTTCAGTACACACAGTCACAATGGTTGCACAGTTACTATGTGACTGTGAACAAGTACGGTGTAGGTACTGATCTTCACTGATGTGTGCACTAGTGCTTAGGCATAGTCGGAGTTGGTGCATGATGTATACGTGCGGTGCAATTATTACGTGCAACCATTCATTGCAATAGGTTGGAAGGTGATGTAGGCATTCGAAGGCACTTTGAGTTGACACAGTTGGTACTCTGCTAGCACACCGGTAAGGTAAGTTCTAAAGAAGATTGACGTGTGCACATAAAGTTGAAGGCTTGGTGGTGGGGAGCTTTTGTTTAACAACTTGTGGGGGTGGCCCCTGAGTGAAAAGCTTTTGAAAAGGTTGGATAGTCGGTAGGGGGGACGAAAAGATGATCGTGTTTAATCTGGTCTCTATTGCGGTGAGCAGATATCTTGGCCCATTGCCCCGATTTGAGTGATAGCTTTGCAGATTTTGGTTATGGCTGGCTTGTGAGTGATGATAAAGCGGTGGTACGCATCTCTGTTCATGGTTGGACATGGGAGGTGATGGTCTTTTGTCAGCTGGCAGGTGAAAAGATAGTGGTCTGGGTTGCCTGGGGCTCCACAGACGCATATATCTGTTGATGAGATGTTGTGCCTTTGGAAGTAGCTGGGGAATGGGCCGTGTCCCGTGATATATCGTGTCAGCGGAGCGATTGCGATGTGTCGATCCGTGCTGACTTTGGGGAAGAAATCGTAGGTGCGGCGGCCAGTTGTGCTATGGTTCCATTCCTCCTGCCATTGTTGGAGCCCTTTACTCCGGAGCTGTCCCTTTAGGTAGGAAGGTGGGGCTTGAAGGTGGATCTGCTGTGCATTTGAGTCGGTTACTGCCTGATTGGCTAAACGGTCTGCTGACTCATTGCCTTCGTTGTTGGCATGTGCTTTTATCCACATCAGCGTCGTGTGCATATGTGAATTTTGCTGCAAGAGGTGCTGAAGGGCGATGACTAGTGGGGATCTGTGCTGATGGTTCTGAAGGGCTTGAAGTGTTGAGTAGCTGTCTGTATGAAGTGTGGCATGAGTTAGATCATTATGGACAATGTGCTGCATTGCTGCTGTGATGGCCAGGACCTCCGCTTGGAAGATGCTGTTGTGATTTTGCAAACGACCTTTCCATTCTTGTTCTATCAGGCCATCCTGGTAGTGGATGTAGGCACTGCCTACACCTTCCTCCTGTTTAGAACCATCTGTAAAGATGTGGGTACCTTGTGAAGGTACTTGCATTCCAGTGTTGGTAGGGGTGCGTGGAATGATGACAGAAATTCCTTTGCCTTTAATTGCCGGGTGTGTGTGGAGAGGGTGTCCAGGTGTTTCAAACTGGACTGGGCTGTAGGTGCTATTGTAGAATGTGACGTCTTTTCTCAAGTATACTAGAGTTGTATATGCCGCTTCCATTTCTACTTTGATGTGGAGAGGCAGCAACCCCGCAAGGACAGTCACCGCACTTGTTGCAGTTGTGCGAAAGGCTTTCGTGAGGTTGAGGGCGAAAGGGCGTTGGACGGTAGTCAGTAATTTGATTTTACGAGCGCCCATTGGGTGGGCCCAGGCAGCGGCAGCGTACGTGGCGATCTTCTCTGCCACAGTGTGATATAGGATCTTCTGTATATGATGGTTCTGCCCCCAATTTTGCCCTTGAAAGGTGCGTGCCTTCCTTGCAATGGTGATAGTCTTCTTTCTGATGTCTTGAATGTGCGGGAGCCACGTGAGTCCTTGATCCCAGAGAAGGCCTAGATGTTTAAGAGTTGAGACTATCTTGATGTTTTGATTGTGCAATTTGATACAAGGACGGCGTGATGGATTTGTACCTGCCCTAGGGATGACAAGGGCCATGGATTTCTCAGTGGAAATTTTGAGTTTTAATGCAGTGCACATGTTTTCGAATATGGTACATGTTGCAGTCCCATTTCTTTCTAATTCCTTCCGTGTGCGTCCCTTGACCAGCAGAGCGACGTCGTCTGCGTAAGCAACAACTGTAGTATGCTGTGGCCAGTCAGCTTCCAGCACAGAATTGAAAGTTAGGTTCCAGAGAACCGGTCCGGCGCAGGAGCCCTGGGGGCATCCTCGCTCCTGGCTTTTGGTGGTTGTGCCGTTGTCGTTGGAAATTAAAAAGCTTCGGTTCTCCAAATAGCTATTAAAGGTGTTAAAGATATTTGCTGGGCAGCGTGCTATTCTGAGGGCTTGTTTTATAGCAGGCCACCAGAGGGTGTGTCGAACGCGCTCTGCAGGTCGATGGAGATGAAGGCCGTATGATATCCCGTAGCTCTGTTGCGTTGTATAGTGTCCCGGATAGTACAGAGAGCATGTGTGGTGGAGAGAGACGTGGTCGGAAACCGAACTGTCTTGAGCTGAGGAAATTGGTCACGTGCAGGTGATAGGACAGCCGTTGGACAAGTAGTTTTTCATAAATCTTACCCATTGCGGATAAAAGGCAGATGGGTCGATAAGAGCGCAAATCTTGTGCGCTTTTATTTTTCTTTTCTTTAAGAAGAGAACTACTTGTCCTTGTTTGAAGGCCTGTGGAAAAATTTGTAGATGAAGAAGTCTATTGAAGAAGGTGCTGAAGAATGATGGACATGCATTGTAGGCCACCTTGATGATAGCATAGTCGAGGCCGTCTGGGCCTGGTGCCTTTTTGCGCGGGAGGAGTTTGAAGACGTGTCTAATCTCACTGCTACTGAAGGGAATATCATACGAGGTGGTGGGAGTGCTTGCATTTTCGCGGATGATACGCTGTGAGGGCGTGTCCTCCTCTGGGTTGTCATCAGGGAATATAGTGCTCAGGATTTTGCTGGCAGTGTGTTCCACTATGTTGGTATTATCGGCCAGTGCTGGAGTCTGGATATGGATCTGTGCCGGGCGAAAGACTTTGCCGGTGGTAAGTTTGTGCAGGATGCCATATGGGTTATTATTAGCTGTACAATAGTTCCTCCTCCAACTAGTAATTTTGGCTGTTAGAATATTATTTTTGTAAAGGGCTCTCTCTTTCCTGTATGCCAGCAAAATTTGTTGTCTGATGCTGTTGTCTGCAGTGCGGATGCGACGTCTAAGGGCTCTGCATTTTTGTCGCTGTGTGCGAAGCTCCTTGGTCCACCAAGAGACTCCTTGTAGTTTCGTCGTCGCGGACCGGGTGGGCAGAATGTTGTGGCATATGTCTTTCAGTGTCGCCAGGAGTTGATTGGTGAATAATTCCATGTCGGCTGGACTGTTAATGCTGTGAAGTTTTCTTTCTTCGTTATGTAAGATGGTGGAGAAGGAGGAGGTGAGGTGCCGGATCTTATTGCCTGGGAGCTTAAACCTGGTAATAACAGAAATGGTGGTGTCGCAGCTGATGGAGAAATGTATGTACTTGTGGTCTGAGTTACTCTCTTCTTCTTCTTCATTTACTGTCCAATCTTGAATTTTACGTGCGATGTTGTGCGTGCAGAGAGTAAGGTCTGGCCAGCCAGTATTGTAGGAGTTATCGTAAGTGGGTGGAGCGTCTGGAGTGTTGAGGAGGTGGAGGTCATGACAAGCCACAAAGTCTTCCAATTCTTGGCCCTTTGTGCTAGTATCCGCGTAGCCCCATATGCTGTTATGGGCATTAAAGTCACCGCCTACAAGAATCGGAGTTGAGGGATATCGTTGCATGACATCAAGGACGTTGGTGGTGAGATTCATAATATCTTCAGAAGGTGGTGAGTAAACAGAGATGAGGATGAGATGAAAGTTTTGAAGGGCTAGTAGTATGGCAACTATGTCGCGTTCTTGTTTAATAACTATGGGGGACCAGGAGGGATTGCAGCATGCAATGGCTGCTCTTGGGGCTTGATTTTGGGGAACGGATTTCTGTTGAAAGAGTGTCCAGCCAATTGGAAGACCTGCAACTTCCCCTTCTCTGGTGTAGGGTTCTTGAAGTAGAAGTACGTCGGCATCATGCGTAATTGCGTGCTGGATAAGCTGTGAAGTTGCGGCTCGTGCTCTTTGAAGGTTGATTTGTATACATTTTACAGTGTCGTTTGACTGCGTAGTGTTGCTTGCCATATTGTTTGGGATGTCAGGGGTACCATTAATCGTACTGTGTGCTACGCTTGATTCGTGCAATGTACCTTCCGTATGTAGGGCATGTGACGTCGTAGGCTGGATGTGCGCAGAGTGTCTTATTGTGGCTCCTATAGTTCCAGTCTGCACAGTTGATGCAGGTGGGTTGGCGGGCGTTGCAGTCTTTAATGCTGTGGCTGCCAGAACAGAACGCGCAATAGATCTTGTTTTTACAGTTCTGTTGGGTGTGCCCGAATTCCTGGCAGCGGTAACATCTTCGTGTATTATAAAATTCTGCGATTCGATGTGCTCGCCAACCGAGGTACATTCTTGGGGACTGAATGAGTTGATGATATGCTGGTGGTGTGCATTCCAGGACCCACTTGACTCCATTTCCTTTGTCTTTTAATCTGTAGAGGACTTTAGCTAAATTCTTGTTGAGGTGAAATTCAGATCCTAGTGCTTTTTCGATGTCTGCCTGGGAAACTGCTGGGTGTACGTCGTGGATGGCAACTTTGGGAAGTCTAGTAGAAGGTAGTTTAGTCGTAACTAGTTGCTTCCCTTGGGTACCCTGTAGTTTTTTGGTAAGTTTCTCAAGATCTTCGGGAGTAGCACAGTCTACGGCCAGACCCTCTTTTTGAATTGGTCTTAGCGTGGTGATCTTAACCCCTAGTGTGGGAAGAGGAAATTCAGCACTGAGTCGATCTTTAAGTTCCTTCCTTGTGAGCTTTGTGTCTTCTTTAGGGTAAAGCAAGAGAGTGTGTTTCGGTGGTGGTTTAGACACCTGTGCATAGGATGTTGAGACTGTTGGAGGTGTTGTTGTCGTGGACACACTGAGGAATCCAGGATCCGTGTTGGTGGCTGTGCTCGCTGTTGGTGGCTGTGGGCTCTGCGTAGGGCCTCTAATGGCTAATTCTTTGAGAGCGTCGAGGATGCCTAGTAGCTGTTCGCGTAGGTCCTTGGTTAATAGATGTTTTTTACCACTGTAACTAACTGCAATTTCAGCAGCACTCGCGTACAGCGTGTCGACCTTATCTTTGTAGCTGATGTCTGAATGGTAACACGAAAAATAGTAGAAGTGCGTTGATTTAGAAACCTCAATAGCGTTAAACTCAATAGCGTTAAAGAGACCGATAAACCTCAATAGCGTTAAAGAGAACATTTTGTTTACGACTGGGGTAGCCTGAATGCTAGATGTTAACTTTTTTAGATTTGATAACTTTGTTTGTGATACTGAAATAAATTCGTTTTAAACTAGATTAAGTATTTATTTAAATGCAGTTACAACTGAACCACAATATGTAGATTAGATGCGGTAAATCTTTTATTAGATTTGCGTTAGGAATTTGAATGATTCCCTTAATGGTTACATGTCAACCATATATAGATTTCTGTTATTCCTTTTAGATTAGCATGTGAAAGACCACGAGCTAGTTTTCAAACACATTTAACATGCAAAGACAATTTTATTTGTTACAGACTTAGGTTTGAAATCTCCGAAAGTTTGATTAAATAATACCTTGCTAAACCCAAATTGATCCAAATAGTCTGTTGAATCAAATGATCTCAGAAGGTAATATGAAAATATTGAGAAACTGTTCTACCATATTAAATTGATATTTCGTAAATAATCATTAAATAATATTTAGAAACAGAATAAAAATTACAGAAAATTTATATAATATAATGTTAAACATTATATAAATTTTCAGCAATTGATTTTTATTAAATTTTATAATTTTTTCTGTGAGTTAGTTTATCTCATTAGTCTAAAGCAGTTTCAGTCTACAAGCGTAACTGCTGAATTAAATCATCGTTTTAAGCAAGAATTTCTTGCACTTAATCTTGTAAAAAATCTTTAAAAGAAAAGTTAATGTTGATAATAATATTGCGTGTAAGGGGCATTAGCCCAAAAGGGCTGTCTTTGCTGCAACGAAACGGCATTTTGAGTCGAACCAAAATAAACGGCTGTATCAGTTTTTAGATTGTTGCCACCAAATAGTATCGCCCTGTATTATATTAAAAGAAAATAAATAATGAAGAATGTGTATGAATGTATGTATGTCTCTCGCATTGTGAAAAAACAACGATACCTAAAGCCATCAAATTTTGAAAAAACATATTTTTTCGCTGAAATACGGGCACCTGGAAGCCCAAATTTTGAATTTCGAATTTGTTTTATTATCTATTTTACATTTTTAAAAATGTTTAAAGCGAATTTTTAATTAAAAAACTGAACGATTTCAAAGCGAGCAGTGCCAACACACTGCACGGAATAAAATACTTTTATCTCCAGCGCGCGAGACTGTCTATCGAAAATTTTAAAGACATGCTCTGCTTCTTTTTAAATATTTTTAGTCCATAGGGACATTAGCCTAGATATTCCCGAAAGATGTACGTGTGCGTAAATGAAAAAAAAAGTTCCTTTGGACATAATATAAAATTTTAAAGTGTTTCAGTTTTTTTAATTTATATGAAGTCTTAAAAACTGTATAAATAAACAGTTAAGAAAGTAAAGAAAATGCAGGTTATTTTAAAATATTTTTTACATTTTTATACATTAACATTCATTTGTTCTAATTCTAGTTAAAAAAAAAACTTACTTTACGAATAGTTTGCAGAATGATATTTAGCGACATAACGATGACTCCATTGACATTAATACATGCAGATTCGGAAGGGTTTTAAAATAAAGGCATTTGAACACAAGGAATTTAAAATATGTCTTAGAGGCAAATAAAAGCTTTGGATGTTCTTTGTTATTAAAAATGGTTTCACTGAAAGCAATTTTAAATTTCTCCGTCGCTTTTTAC